TCCCCCGATTATCTCAACCTTTGAGAGGTCAAAGGTTACTCCTCAAGTTATAATACTTCCAAAGCTTTTCAAAGCTTGAATGGTGTCAAAAAAAAATTAATCTATAATTGATCATATCCCAATGTGTCAATAATATTATTAACACAATTTTCACTCATACTCTAATACCTACGTATTTATTTTATTTTATTTCATTTTATTTTTAAGACCTTAGTCTTAGCCTCTTGAGTTCTAAAATTTAATTTCATGTATTTGAACCTATCTACTTGGTTCAATAGTCTCCTTCACAATAATTTAATTCAAATAATTTTCTAATATCAAAATTTTCCTTTTTATTCCAAAAATTCGCAAATAAAAATACCCAAAAATTATAAACTTGATTTCAAGCCTAGAATCATTATTCTATAGCCATAATAATTTATTTCTAATCTCAAATAATTATCTAAATATCAACAAATCAATTTATATTTTCAAATTTAACCAAAAATCTACCCATAGGGATCTATGGATAAACTCAAATGCCTCAAATTTCAATTTTATCAACAAAATAATACTCTAGAATATTTATTATACTACCAGCAATCTCAACAATCAGATTTTCTCACCAAAAATTCATCCCTCTTTTAAATTCTAGATTTTTTAAAATCTCAAAATCTGCAGTCTCAGGGAAAAAAAATGACTAAGAAAATATTTAGAACACTTACCTAATCTTAGAATATTTAAAATCTCATCTGAAGTATTCTATTATAAAGCTTTACCTTCTAAACAATTCTTATCGCAGGTGACGCTCTCGCTCTGTTCTTCTTTTCTTTTTCGAACTTCTTTGTTGCGTGCACGGAGAGATGAGGAAGGGATCAGGAGAAATGAAAAAGGTTTGTATGTTTTAAAATGGGTGTGGGTCTCATGATAATAATTCACACCACTCTTCCGCTTCCCATCTCCTTTTCTTTCTCTTTTTTTTATATAATATTACACACTATTCACACACCAACGTCTATATTCCTTCTGCTTTTCTTCTTTTTTTAATATAATATTGCACACTACACACACACCCTAACATCTATATCCCTTCTCCTTTTCCTTTTTTTTTTAATTTCATTCATATCCCTTTTCTCTTTTAATGATAATGATAATAATTCTATTTTCTAAAAATCATAATTTAGAATTTGGATTTATGCTAAATTAAATCCAATAATAATCTCCTAACTAAAATTATTTATATCTAAATATTTCTTCAAAATTACTTATTTGCTCTGAATTAACTTAATTAACCTTAGGTTAATTTTTGAAATGTTACAAAAAGTGTATATAAAAATTAGACAAATAAATCAAAAATAAATTTTTATTTATAAAAAAATAACAAGCAACAATTTTTAGATGTTGTCAAAAAGAAAATCTATAGATAACATTTATATTTTTGTTGCCTATTAGAGTGGGGGAACAATTTTGAAATGTTGCCATTAAAAAACTTTTATATTCAAAAATTTTATTTCAACACGTAGAAACTGTTGTCTATTATACTTTAAGGAACATTTTTTAAATGTTGCCAAAAAAGTGTTGCTTAAAGTAGAAGATCAATAGCAATATACAAAAACTATTGCTTATGATCATATTGGCAATATTTTTAAACTTGTTGCAAATTAAACTGTTGCTTAAAGTAAAGAATGTTGTAGTATTGTTAATTTGCCATAAACAATTACAAATTGAGAACTTTTAATTTTATAAATTTTATTTGTTAAAAGTCAGAACATATTGTTATTAATCACAAATGAGTTGTTATTAAAATCCGAATGAATATTTGTTAACAAAGGACTAACATGTACAATTAACGGATTTGATAGACATAATTGTACGTATTAATTCTTTATCAATAAGTATCTATTCATATTTTAACAATAACTCATTTAAAGTTAACACTCCATTTAGGCTTTAATAAGTTAAAAAAATAAATAAGATTGGCTTAATTGTATAAGTATTAGTCCTTCATTAGCAAATATATATTTATATTTTCACAACAATTCATTTGAAATCAAAAATAATATATTTAGGTTTTAACAACTTAGAAAAACTAATAGAATGAACTTAATTGTATGTGTTAGTTATTCATTAACAAGTATCCATTTATGCTTTGACAATAACTCATTCGTAATTAACAACCATACATTTGGACTTTTAACAAGTAATATGCATGAAGTTTTAAAGTTTTTAATTTATAATTATTCATGTGAAATTAATAAGTAACATTAGAAAAATAATAAATACTATTTAGGAATTAACAACGCACTTTATGTTATAATATGAATATGATTAAAAACTTGGGTTTGCTCTTTTTTTATTTGCCGTATGTAATAGGCCACCAAGCTTTTTAGGTGGCCAAGAGATTATAAAATCAAACCCCCCTTGACCACCTTTACCAATTATTCTTGAATAAAAATATCATCGATGCTAAAGCTTTGGTGACTTATCATTAGCAACCTCATCGCCGACGTGGGCTTTGGCGGAGGTCTAGCAGCTAGCGTTGGCAACAATGGAAGTTGGCTTTTTTTATTTTAAACTTTATAGACACTTTGATCATTTCACATGAAAAATTAATATTAGTCAATAATTAAGAGATTGTAGTGTAATTTTAAAATTTATTGATTCTTGACTGATATAATTATCCCCTAGCAACCTTGGCTAATATTTTCTCATGAACCATTTGTCTAGGTGTTCACAATTCCAAAATCACAAATAACAGTGCTATATTCATAGCATTTAGCGGTGGATGTAGGATTTTTGTTAGTTGGGTACAAAAAGGCAAAGTTTTAGAATTGAAATTTAGCGGGATAAAAATATTAAAACTAGTGTAGACAATTAAAATGGTAAATTTTACTTGCCTTACTTATAATTTGTGCCAAAATGAGTAGGGTAGCACTCACACCCGCTGGCATGTAAGTCCTGATAGCATTGCACATCAACAAGCAAATACGTCCACATGATATGAAAATAGCCAAATTGATGAGTTATCTATACTTGGTTTGTTTAGATTAATGAAGGTTTGAATTTAAACCAAATTTTTTATTTGAATATAAAAAAATTATAATTTTAGATTTGAATCAACATTTCAAATTATAATTCCTTTAGAATTCTAATTTTTTTATATATTCTAATAATTTGAAATTCAACTCACTTCCAATATCTTGTGCTCTCTTCATAATTTTATCATATGAATCTCTATGGCTCTTGTATTTTTTTTATCTTTTATCGATTAAAAAATAAAAATATATTTTTCATTTCTAATTTTTCCTTTCCCTTTGAATCTCAATTGATTTCTATTCTTCGTTTGAAATTTTTTATACTACTTAAATAAATGATTTTAAATATATGGATATTTCAAAATCCAAATCCATCCATGCAAATGCTACGTAATAGAATTTCTCTTTTCTTAAAAAAAAAAGGATAGAAGAAAAGAAGCAAATAGGAGTGTACTGTGTATGTATTGTGTTAGCTTGCAGTTTGAAGTCGATTTAAAATCAGAGACCTAGTATTGTAACAGAATTATATAAAAATCTATAAATAGCCAAATGTAGCTGCATTATAGTAAGTTTATCTTCATTTCCATGGAAGAGGAAGAATTCTTTGAGGTTGTAATTAATAATTAACTTTTTTTTTTGGGGGGGGGTGCAATTTCATTATTCTACCGATACCAACATCGCAGCAGCAACTTTGTTAGCAAGATTGCGAAAATTATGCAATATTTGCTGGCAGGTAGAATGGTGTTTTCTAGAAAGGAACTGGTAAAAAACATGAACTTATATAAAACAGATATCAGGTAAAGGTGATGTACAATATGGCTGAGCTGAATAACACTCGGTACCATGCATTTCGGAGAGTCCATCAATGCCTTGCAACTAAAGGTTAGGCAGTTGTTGAAGAGAAAATGAGATGACATTGCTTAGTGCTTACTGATATGATGTTATACTCATTTGGCTTGAGGATCCAGAGCATGGCAATCAATACTTATGTGGCAATATTCTGTGCATTCCCATCATAATTTTCTAGTTTGCATATATCAACTGCAACAGAGTGGTCAAATCCATCGACAAGGAATATGCGGGAACAGCAATTACGTGATCAATGTCCGATGGGATTTTCATATAACACAAGCTAAGGGATAATGTGGCAGCAAGAAACGAAATGTCCTTGGCATTTGGCTCAACAACCAAGCTCTCAACTTGACTTCAACATATATATACCCACAGTCCACATTAATTGTTAATCCTTTGTCTAGGTGTTCACAATTCCAAAATCCCAGATAACATCCTTAAGGGAATATGTGCACATGATATGTATGAAAATAGCCAAGCATAAGCCACAGCCAAATTTTTCCGTTCAACTCTCATATTTGAAATGTAACCCCCTTCCAAATTTATGGTGTGTGTGTGTGTATATAAAGGAGGAATAAGATGTAAGGTCTTTTATCTATTGCAATGAGAGCCTATAAATTTTGCATTGGATATTGTAAAAACATGCATATGTTATTATTAAAAAGATGAATCTTAATTTAATAAATTTTTAAGAAAATCCTAACAAAAAATATAAGGTTTAACTTTTAATAACAATATACAATTTTTTACAAGACAATATTTAATGCAAAATTTAAAGGCTCTTGTTGCAATTGAGAGGATCTTAAATGTAGTTCTCCCAAAGAATAATATTAAATGATAAATTTGATTTATTTTAAAAAAAGGGTCAGAAAATATTTTTTTAAATAGGTCATAAAAAACAATAACATTAAAGTTAAAAATATAAGAATAACATAAAATCAATCAAATATGAATCGTTTAACCTTAACCTAGAAAACCAAGACAGGCATAATAGGCATCGGGCTCTCTGCATGAAATTTTTCTTGGCGGTTATAATGTTAAACTCCATGCAAAATTGTTATAATTTAGGAAGAAACAAAATTGCATCCGGGTCCTTGGTCCGATAAAAATACATAAAAAAATTGCATTCGGGTGGCAGTGTGTTCAGCGCGGGGACAAAAATGTCACTATGATATTATTGATATCTCTTTGCGGGGCTCCATTGCCGATCTGAAGATCCCAGCGAATCTCACAAGTGACCAAGACGGCGACAACGAGCTTCTCGGAGGGCAATAATGGCATCGGCTTTTATCAAGCTGGACGATTCCCCCATGTTTCAGAAGCAGGTAAGCCGGTTGTGCTGGATTCGTTGTTGTCTTTATTCTCATTTCCAATTTTTGATCACTCTTTCGCTATTGTATAATCCTCATTAAGCATCATTTCTTGTTCTAGATTTTATATCATGAACAAATCACCTTTTTCCCCCGTTTTGTGACACTGGGATTCTGTGACGCCCAAGCTTGGCCTTTTTATTTTTTATACTTGAAGCTCGATGACGGGTCGCAAACTCGCAAGAGTTGCGAAGATGGTTGGTCTTTATCCCTCATAGCTTCTTATGATGCTCAGAAGTCTCAAAGTTCCAATTACATTTCTGTAAAATACTATTTGATGGAAAACCGTAAGAATGGAGGCGGTCATTCTTCGTTTGAGCTAGCATTTTTGGGCAAATAATGGTGATTAAATACCTTTTGATTTAGCATTGGAAAGTAGATTTCGGATTGGATCTGCAATAAGTCTTTGACATTATGGTGAGAGGAAAAAATTGGAGAGTTGGAGGAAAGAAATGTGACAGGATAGTATTTCATTTGCGGTGTACAAAAGCCAAGACCAGAACGTTAGCTAATTCTTTTTGCAAGATCAAAGTTGCACGTTCTAAACTATGCTAGGCTATACTATTCATAAGCCAATAAGGTTGGTCTTAGAGTCTTTTTCCCCCCTTTTCCTTCTCATTTACTATTGGTTGCCATGTTAACATTGAAGGATCATTGAAAGAAATCCTCCTTGAACAATCGTAAGGAAGAATAAAATTTCAATCCCCTAAACCAGCCTTGAGTTTATCCTAGGTGACTTGAAAAAGTAACTCTCTTCTAAAGACAGCATGTAGGGGGAAAAAAATCTTTGGTTAAGTATTCCTGCAATTCTTTCCTGCCATAAGCACCAGACTGCCAACGGATCTCTATTAATGGCCTGGCCCTCAAAATTCAAACTAATTTGCTAAAAAATGAACTAGAAAGGCAAGGCAAAACCATTGTACATAAAAAAAAAAAAACCCAAAAAGTTAATCTGGCATTTGCCATGTTATGTTGCAAAACGTGTTCATATTTGTTTCGGAGCTGCTGGAACACATTCATGGTGATAAATCTGAGGAGGAGTAGTAATATTAGCTCCCAATTTGCAATGCTAGTAGCAATGTTTGTATTCCTTTTGGAGCTCCTAAAACACATAACAAAAGCATAAAAAAGCCTATATTAGGCTGATTAGTTTGAAGCATATACTTGTGTTGGTTCTAGTCCATTGACCTATGGTATCCCACCAAACTTTTAAGTAACCTTGAGCTTCTAGAAAGCACCATTATAAGTAAGAACATTGAGGAAGGATTCGGAGGAATTTAAAATGGGAGATTGCAAGACCACATACTTTCTTCTAGCAGAGTTGGAAGAGGGGATTCACTAAGGATATGAAATAGTAGAACAATATCATGAAAAACACTGTTAAAGTTATGAGGCGTGGAAATTCCAATTATAGTGGAACCTTGTTAAATTAGAAATTCTAAAGGTGGTGCTGGATGTAAAGCTGATACAAAATCAAGTTGGGGGAAAATCTCAGGAAAAACTGAAGACCCATTCCACTGGTCCTCCCAAAACCTATACCTAAAGCCATTTGAGAGTACTAATTACTAGAGAGTAGTTATATGTTTTATTTCACCGATGATGTCTTACTCATGATGGGCATATATTTGTTGATTTGCTGAATTAATCTGGTTGATGCCGGAGAAGTTATGCTTGTGAGGTGATGATGTGCATTGCTTGTAATATTTTGGTGTCTGGTAGAGAAATGCCAAACTATTTGAGGATAAATATTTGTTGTCGCCACTTCTATTGGCTGGCTTTGCACTTTTTCCATTTTTTATTCCTTAACTTGTGTAGTCTACGGTAAGAGGATGCCTTATTCTGGTTTGTGCTGTTCTTCTCTAATGTCGATGAAATTTCTTCATCTATTCAAAACCAATATGAATGTGAGCATGGAAGTATTTAATTTGATCGAGATTCTTGAATTGGTAGTCTTTATTAGAAAATTTAATGGTTTCTGATCAGATTCATAAAGATTACTATCAATAAGAGTTTTTTTTTCCTTGTGACAGATATGTTCTCTTGAAGAAATGACTGATGAGCTAGCAGATCGCTGCCAGAAATTATTCAAAGGGTGCAAGAAATTTATGTAAGCTTTCGATATTTTTTGTATTACATAATAGATCTATTGCTGGGTTTGCTAAGTTTTTCCCTGGAAATGTCATGTCATATCATGATTTTTTGATCGTTTATACATTAATCTTGACCATTAATTTATGATTTAATAGTGATTACTTCTCTCATCTCTCACTTAAGATCACTCTCTTTTGATATGCTCCCATACATTATGTATATTTGTATGTATGTGTATGTATTGTTAGGTCAGTTTCTTTTCTCCATGTCTTTTGTGCTTCTTTTATCTCAACAAAGTGCAAGGGGGACAAAATGGGGATTTGGGAACTAGATTGCAAGATTGAGCTGGAGAAAATGCATGGCAGTCAGACCTTTAATGAGCCATGATATAACAACAATAACAATAACAAGTCTTATCTCATTAGTCAAGGTTAGCTACATGGATTGCACGACTTCATTGTGCACTATTATCAACTAACTCTTAGGAATATTGTTAAGCAAGAAGTCTCGATCAACAACTTCCATAAGTGGTTTTTTTTTTCTCTTCTTCTGCCCCCCTTTATAGGGCTTAAGGTTATTTGTTTCGTTCTCCTCACCAATGCTTCCCATGGCCTTCTTTGTACATGGCCAAACCGTGTCATTTCTTTGGTCTTCCTATGATCAATTGCAAAAATGATTGAGGAAAATTCTTCCGTATTTGAAACTTTTGTGACTATTGTTGGTTGATTATTAGAATCATGTATGAATCATGTATGGATATTTTGATAGGCTTGGATTGTTTGTTTGCCATATTTGATCTGATGATAGTAACAATATAATATAGAAGTTGCTCTTAATTATTACAATGAATGAATAAGTATTGAATTATTCAAGATTTCTTAAATATTCAAACCCAAAGTCTAGCAATAATCATGATAATTAATGTAAATTTGATTTTACAACAATGACAAAGATATTGTAGCTTCAAATTAAATGCATTTTTTTAATAAAAATTTGCAAATGAAAGTAGACTTTAAGTGTTTTTTTAGAAATTAATGTCATCCATGTTTTTACACTTCTTATTTGCAAATAGTACTTATATGATGCTGGTTGTGTATGAAGTGTCATGAATGGAAGATCTTTCTATTTCAGCTGGTTAAATTAAAAGAAAAAGGACTTTGATCTTTCATCTTACTTGAGCTTCTGTCTGATTTTAGTAATGAAGATTCTAGATTGATTGTGGTGGCTCGAACTGTATTTTTTCTGTCTGTTACACCAATCGTGCCACTGGAGCCACACAATGGTGTTAATTCTTTGTTCTGTTTATCATCAGGGCAGCTTTGGGAGAAGCTTATAATGGAGACATTGCCTTTGCTGATGCTTTAGAAGTATTTGGCGGTGGGCAAGATGACCCTGTTAGTGTATCAATTGGAGGTTGTTGGGAACGCATTATCATATATTCTTTTATTTCTCTTTTGTAGGAGTGAAAAAGAAACCAAAAAGGTGTTTCTCTCAGAGTAATTAAATAATTGTACTATAGTATTAACCCACTAGTTACTTGTTTGATGTCTTGTCTATACCAAATTTCAGTGATGAGCACTTAAAAAAAAAAAAATTAGAAAACAGAGAAAGATGTGAATGTATGTGTATACCCTTTTTTTGCTGCAAACATGCAATTATGTAATATACATGGATACAATGATCCGTATGAATGTTGAGCGTGGCATGCTTTTAACTGTGTCCTTTTCTTCCAGGACCTGTTATATCTAAATTTATCAGTGCACTTCGTGAGCTTGCATCTTTTAAAGAGCTTCTCCGGTCACAGGTGAGTCCCAGAATCTGCATGCTGAGTTCTCCCTTGATTGTAAATTGTTAAAAATGATTGAGACAAGTCTTAGTTTGGGCATGTTTTGGCCGTGCAAGACAAAATGATTTTTCTCTTGAATGCAATATGATATTTTTTCTTTATTCAGCTATTTCAAGTCTAGCTTCTGCCAATACTTCTCTAGAATATTGTAGTATCGAGTCCTTTTCAAATTCACTTATTTCAAGTTATGGATGAGTCCCTTAATTTGGAACAAGGCTATTGCATTCTTCATTGTTGAGTATGATCTCTTCACAGCATTCCACATATCCTTGTCAGTCTGACAGATGAAAATTATCTCCAATTTTAGGATACATTATATTTACCAGCCATGATTATTGGTCTCTACTCTCCATGCTCTATTTTTGGGTTATGAAAGTTTTGGTTCAATGATGTATTCCACCTTGCCTTTCCATGATAACCATAAAACTACCTGGGACCATTGTAGATGACTTGTTTCCCATTGAACCTATGGTTTCTGGTCTTCAATAGAGTACTGATGGTGGCCATGGAACCAGAATCAGTTGAAGAGTGACTGGTGTTTTGAGGTGCTGGATGCCTGAGTCAGGGTTCAGAGTCCCTCTTGAATGGCTATCATTGTGTCATGTGTGATCATCTTAGTGTGCCAAACCAACTCTAGTACCATGTAGGAAATCAGAGAGAAAAGATGAAGGAATACTAGTGAAATCGTTTCTCTGTTTTTCTGTGTTGTTATTCAGTCAGAAAGTGCAGAGACATTCAGGGAATTAATGGTATAGGTTAGCCACAAACCAGCCATACAAATCCAATCAAATCCCAAGACATTAGGATGGTTAACATAACAAAACAACCTTTGCCTTATCTCTACACAGATAAGGACAGACAAGTGACGTTTGAAAAGAACAAGCAAAAGGGGATAAAACTAATGATTAAATTTACAATTGAAACTACTCACACAAGCACGTCTCTTGCTCTTCCCCCTTATCACACTGACTTTCAACAGTGAGACTCAACAATGAATCATCTTAGCTAATGTCCCACAAAGGCACAGATATACCATCAAAGACTTGTATCGTAATTCAGGACGTCATTAGCAATGGTGAACAAAAATGGGTGAGAGGATTTTCTTGCCTTCATGTTGCCCTTCAAAACGACAGTTAGGCTCTTCATTGCAATGACAGAAAAATAGTAGAAGAAAGCCAGTCTTGAATCCATCTTTTCCATCTAACCCCAAGCTCTGTTATCATATTTCTATGTTTCTCCATTTGCTGTATTGTGAAAAGACTTGGAATTCTCATCCCCTTCTCTTGCCCATTTGATCCTACTTTACTATTGCTGGCTAATCCCTCCTTAAGGAGAACTTCATCTGACTCATTTCTTAAGGTTAGCCTTTGTGCTTGATATTCCAACAAACTACTCTCATCACAAGCACACCCAAAGATCTGATTCATGAAGAACATTCCTCTTTTTACTTAAGCTATCCCCAAGAACCTCCCTATTCTAACCTTTCAGCATCTCTTTCGTAAGCTTCAGTTGTTGCATTAGCTTGGATCCTTCCCAAGCTATGACAAAGCACTTCTCGCACTAAATTTTAATTTGATCAAACGAAGAGATCATGCTGAATCCAGTGATTGGATTTAACTGCCTTTTCAATTTTACTAGCCATTTTCTTAATGAAACTGGCAAGCAAAAGAAAAGAGCTATACTTTTGTTCTTATTTATGGCTGGCTAAGTTTCCAAAGGTCAAAATGTTTTCTTGGTATGTATTTCTTGAGTCTATTATCAGTTGACAGAATTTTGGTTCAGGTGGAGCATGTGTTGATTGATCGGCTGGTGCAGTTTATGAATGCTGATTTACAAGATGCAAAGGTGTGTTTTCTTTTTCTGTAGTTCACTTACTTTGTTAGCATGTTATTGTTGAAGTGCAAGTCATCCTTTTGCTATACTTTTCTAAGAGCTATACTTTTGTTCTGTTGTTTTTTTTTTGGTTGCCTTTAGCAACTGCAAACCATTTTTATACCACAGCGATGGTTTTGGATAACTCTTGTTTATTTTCTAGTTTTAAATGCATAAAATGGGTGGTTGAAATTGATTTCTCAAAAGGTGATACTTGTGCTTTTCTTGAGTTCATTTGTTTTGACAATTATGTATTTGCTAAAAATTATGACCATTTTCATTGTGCTCACTCACTTTCCATCCTTCCTCTATTGCTTGTTTTAGGATTCTCGCACTCGTTTCGACAAAGCTGTACATTCATATGATCAGGTATCAAAGGAATCTTTTGTAAATTCTATAATTTGGCATCATGCAATTCATATAGTTGATTCCATTTAGTTGGATAAGGTTTGTTGTTGTTGTCGTCGGTATCTAATGCTATAATTAATTTTATTGGTAAAATTTGGTTATACAGAGTGATTTTTGATAAGATCTTATTTGTTCCTTTGATGTTAAGATATTACCAAAGTTGTGCTCTTGCATGGTATACTTCTTCCTTGATATGAATTCTTTCCTCTTTTTCCTGCTTACATATTCGTAATGAGATTTTTAAGTTTACTTTAAGGCACTTTGCTATTTTCCTGCATGCAGAATCCCTCTGAAAGGGTTTGCAAGAATTTTGAAATGATCATTTCTGAGTCAATTGCCTTGTTTACTTCAGTTCCTAGACATTTTGATGGTAAATCTAAATGGCCATGCATGTTTTGTTAGGGTCACCCACTTTTCACCTCTTCAATGATCATTTCTGAGTCAATTGTCTTGTTTAATCTATTGTCATTAATTTAAGTGTACTAAATGGATAATGAATCCCCCTGTGATGAGAGCCTTAATTAGCTCCAGTGAATGTGATAACTAATAGGGATTCTTGACAAGCCCTAATTAACTCCAGCAATAACTAATGGTGCTCCTTGATCTTTTTTTAAAGGGCAGATTTTTTAAACAAAATACGTGACTGGCTGAATTAGCAATACAAATGTTCACTTAGGCATCGAGTTAAGCTTGCTTAATTTTACTGCTGCTTATGCTTCTAACTTCTCATTTAAATTAGCAGGAGAAGTTGTGCTTATAGGGGCAGGTCATTTTTCCACTCAAATGGCTCTTCTTGAAAGCCTTGGTTTGCTTAAGTCCTCTATTAGAGATCATGCATTTATGACATAGTTACTTGGACGTTGTTGCACAATTCAGAATGGCCGCTACTTATGGTTTCTAATAGTGTTCACACATCTATTTTCTCCAGGCACGAGAAAAATTTGTTTCTTTGAAGAAGAATACACGGGAGACATTGTTGCTGGATTAGAAGAGGTTAGTTGAATTGATTTGTTAAAGATTACTAGTTTTTTTATCCTTTTTAAACTTAGGATTTATATAGTGTTTTGACGTTTCTTTCTTTTTTAAATCAATAGTATTTCTTTTATGCTACGTGTATTGGCTTTTTTACTTGAACCTAGTTTACAATCATAAAATCAAATATTGCATAATACATTTTACAACCTCAATGGAGGTAATAAGTATAGGGAAAATTATATGTAAGTTCCAGATAAGAGACTTATTTACAAACAAGTCCTATGAATTTTTTAAAATACTCTCAAGTCCCTTGAGACTTGGTTGCAATTAATTTCCCATGTGAAATAACACAAATGCCCCTTACCCACCTTTCTTTGACTGACATTGTCCATGGATTGATCATTGGCTGGCGTTGACCAGTGGTCAGTGGCGGTTGACTGGTCAGTCAAAGTAAATAATTTTTTAAGAATATTTTTGTTAAAATATTGATATTTTAATACTGACAAGTCAAATTTCATTAATTTACACGTAAATCTCTTAAATTTATCAACATCTTAAAATATCGATACTTCAATATTTATGAGTGAAACTTCATCAATTTACAAGTAAATCTCTTAATTTACAAGTGAGCGTCTTAAAATATTTATTCTTTAATATTTACAAGTGAAACTTCATCGATTTACAAGTCAAGCTCTTAGATTTACAAGTGAATCTGCATTATTTTTGTTGTTATTGAATCACATGCCAACTTCTTTGATTTACAAGTCCTCCTCTAAAATTTACCAGCCAGAGTGCAAAATTACAGGCTAACAATAGCAAAAAATGCTTAAGTTCACTTTTAAGTCTAAGATGTTGACTTATAAATCTTAGATGTTTGACTTGTAAATCTCAAATGCTTGACTTGACAATCTAAGAAATTGACCTGTAAATTTGATGGTATTAATTATTAATGTTAAAGTTTATAAAAATAATTATTTTCTTTGACTGGCTGCTGACGGGTGGGTGGGTCCAAGGGCTTTAATGTCATTTCATAAGGAAAATTTATTTCAATCAAGTCCCAAGGGGCTTGAGAATATTTTCACACATTTGTGATACTTATTTGTCAATAAGTTCCTCAGTTGTGACTTATTCATAATTTTCCCTTAATCATACAAGGTTAGCTTAGTGGCAAAAGTATTCTTTAGAGTCATGCAATTGACTACCTAGTGACTCTTGCTCTAGCAGCCAAACTGAATACAACCAAGGTATTTCTGTCCTTGGCTGCCAACCTTTGTTCGCCACTCCACTAGCTGAATGTCATGCTGGCAACTCGACAAACTGAATGTTAAAAATGCATTCTTGAATGGGGATTTTGAAAAAGCATGCATGAATATGCCTCAATGCTTTGAAACGAATAAGTAATGTTAGAAAGGTTTGCAAGCTCAATAAATCTTTGTATGGCTTGAAAGTGTCCCCTGTGGCCTGGTTTGAGGGCAATGGTGACACTTGCTATCAAAGTGATTACACCTTTATTAAATGATCTTCTGATGGAAAAATCTATTTTATTATTGTATCCTGATGATATTATCATAACAAGTGATCCTATTCAAGAAATTAGGTGGTTTAAAGGAGTTATTGTCAACGAGTTTGTAATTAAAGAACTTGGGGACAAAAATATTTCTTTGGCATGGAAGTTTCTTGTTAATGAAAGGCGTTGTGGTGTCACAAAGAACATAAACGTTGGATGTATTAGAAGAAATTGAGATGGTTTGGCGTAAGCCACCTGATATATTTATGCGGGCAAATTACAAAGTAGGTCTAAAGGAGAATAGTGTTCCGTTGATGCTGGAGGGTATTAAAGATTACTAGGCAAGCTTATATATACCTCTCACAGTAGATCTGAATTAAGCATTTTTGTTGGCCTGACTAGTCCATTTAGAAATAAGTCTTATAAGAATACCTTGATGCTGTTTATTGAATACTTAGATACTTGAAGATGATGCATGGAAATAGGATTTGTTTCCAATAGGGGTCAAAGAGGTAGATTGAGTTCTAATTCAGATTGGGATGGGTCTATTATTGATGGCAGGTCCACTGATTATCTGTGAGGAAATCATGTGACGTGGGTAACAAAGTGGTTGTAATGAGACAAGTAGAGCTGAAGCTAAGCATGTTGCTTACCCAAGGAATATATGAAGCAATTTGGTTTCAAGGGTTGTCACATTACTTGAGGATTTCAGTGGATGAACCTAAGAAGGTTATGTGTGACAACTTGGATACAATTAGCATAGCTATGAATCTTACTCATCATGACAGGACAAAGCACATGGAATCTGATCGCCGCTTAAGGAAAAAGTGGCTTCTTCATACCCCTTTCACGCTTTCAAGCTGCTGATGCCTTATCCTGAGGAAGATGTGAAGAATTAAGATCCAAGCCCGGAATGGCCAGCATCTATTCTTTAGCTTGAGAACATTGAGGGAGGGTTGGATTTCAGATTGTCTCACATGGTTGAAATGGGAATAATCCATATAATTACTTAATCTTTTTTTTTTTTTAAGGTTCTTGTTATGTCACCTCTTTAATGTAGCTTCAATTTTGTGCTTTATGTTGCTTCCTTCTTGCCCAGGATCATGGCACACTTGCTGCCTTTGTCCCCAATGTATATTCAAATTCTGAGATGAATAAAAATCAGATCACAGTGGCAATAATCTCTTATTTTTATTCACCTATTGAGCTTTATCTTCATGGTATGAGAGCTCATACCCTTAGTATCTCCTTCTCAGGTATCTGTTTGCTCTGGCTAGAGATAATTGTTCATATGTCAAAGAACAAGGTGAAACCGAATAGAAAAAAAATAGGAAATTTTTTTTTTTGGTTTTGAAAGTTTTAGGCAATTTGGGTTAAGATCCCTATCGTTTTACCCCCTTTTAGTTAAGGAACTAATCCTTAAAATTATGGTCAACTTTGGTCAAGGTCCCTAGAGATGACATGCCTCTGATATGGCACTGATGTGTTGCTAATGTGGCAATAATATTGGTAATAGTAAAGGCTTTGACTAAAGTTGACCATAACTTTTAGGATTGATTCCTCAATGAAAAAACCATATGGACCTTGACCCAAGTTAACCAAAACTTCAGGAACCGAAAACCTTGTTTTCCCTTGAAATTAAAGGAGCTGAAAATGATTCAATTTTAAGATTTGGAGTCTATAATAGATATTTTAGTACCACAGAACCTAATACTATATTAATTGCAAACCTAAAAAGGATATGCAATCCGTAACATTGATACTGGAAAGTATACATTAGATAATATGTCTATCCTGAATTCCAGTGACAGGCTCCTAATGTTAGAAATCCTTTATGATAGGATGGCCTGCAGTCATGATGCAAGCTGTGTCTCATAATTTTAGGGATCTTAACAATAACAGCAGCAAGCCTTATCTTACTGGGTGAGGTTGGCTACATGGATTGCACAATTTTAACTGTATTTATAAAATATTCTAACAATAACACTGTTGATGTTTATTCCTGGTGTGCTCTGGCCAATTAATTAGTGTATGATCTAGTTCATTATCTCTTCTTTTTTAGTTGCTTTATATTTTTTCACTAATATTTTGTTGACTCACGTTATGTAGATTAATATTTTCTCTACTCCATCTATGGCAGGGTCTTCAAAATTCAAAGTCAGCATTCGAGAAAAGTCGCTTTAATCTAGTATGCCTTCCACTTTTGTTGATCGTTTATGTGTCTTTAGATCAAATTTTCCTTGTCTTATGAACGTTCCTATGGGATTTTAAGGACTGCAGGTAAACTCACTCATGAACATTGAAGTGAAAAAGAAGTATGAATTCTTGGAGTCCTTTAGTGCAATAATGGATGCTCATCTTAGATACTTCAAGCTGGTGTGTTTTTTGGCTGCTAATTTTATTTGGGGATTTCCATTTTGTGGTGTTGTACTTAACCAGTTGGGTTTATAATGCTACAGGGTTATGACTTGCTGAGCCAAATGGAACCCTATATTCACCAGGTACATACATGGTTTTCTTTCTGTTCAACAGTTTGAGCGTGATTGGTAGTGTAAATTGGGTTGATGACTAGTGGACCAGGCTTTTACTAGTTGTACTGCCCTTGTACTATATGATTAGAATTAGATACATAGAGATTATCGAGTCCATGAATTCTGGCCTTGGATGATATTTAGTTATACAACAATTTTTAAGACAAAATTACCTACCTTGCGCATACAAATAAAACAATTTTAACTAATTTATGTCTTAAAATTTATTTTATCCTTCTACTCTCTGCCTTCAATTAATAATCATCATTTTCACTACATGGGGAAAGCTGCATGTATAGTTACTCCAAAGTGGGTCAAGTCTTTTTATTCATTCATTGGGTGCATTTTAGGAAAAAATAATTAATTACTTCTAATATTCTTTTATATCGTCTTATATATCGGAACACCTCACACCCTAAAGTTTTGTCTTATAATTAGGAATGAGGGGAGGATAAAATTAGGTCAAGTACAATATAATATAACTAGTATAAGCTTAGGTCACTCATTAACACATTAATTAAACTAGCTATCATACTTCTAACAATTTTGTTATGATCAATGTTGAAGTAATTTATTTTTTAACATTTAGCTTCTTGTTGTATTTGGTTATGGTAGCTGTTATGATATGAAGTTTGATAGCTCCATGGAGATAATGTACTGATTTTCTTCTTGTTATGAGTTTAGGTATTAACATATGCACAACAATCTAAAGAGCTGGCTAATGTTGAACAAGATAAGCTGGCAAAACGAATTCAGGAATATAGAACACAAGCTGAGCTGGACAACTTACGAGTTTCTAGTAATGCTGATACTTTATCTGGTGCTGACGGCAGCCGCGTTGTTGGTTTGAACTCATATAAGATCTCTGAAGTAGGGATCCAGAATGTGCCCCAAGGTGAGGTAAGCAATCTGCTTTTGTAAGGTTTAATGATTTATTAGCCAAGTGGGTGGCTGTTATCAGTAAGCTTTCCTGTTTGTCTTGACTTTTTTGGTTTTGCTCTTGTTATCATGGCTAGCAATTGCTTTACTTTTTTGTTAGTAGTGTCAAACAATTAAGCAAGGCTATCTGCTAAAACGATCCTCAAGACTGCGAGGAGATTGGAAACGGAGGTTCTTTGTGCTCGACAACCAAGGGAGTTTATATTACTATAGAGCAAAGGGAGCCAAGGCTATGGTGATCACCTCTTCTCCCTGCTTGTCATTCTGTTGACTGTTAAAATTTATAGGGCACTGACTGAATTGAATTTGTTTTAGAACCACCATACACAGAAATCTACAAATTCCCAAATGTCCTTGGTGGTAGTACAATTTGTAAGCATGAATTTCTTGATAGAATTAACCAGAAGTTCTTGAATTTGCTGATTCTTCTGTACCGATGTTTTTATTTCCTTTCACTCCGAGGGCTAGCTTTTATGTGAGGTTCATCCTTTTCCATTCAGCCAAAACTTATCCACACCATGTTTTCCCACTCTAGGAATCTAGTTTAGTATTCATCTAACTTTTTGTGTCCATAGGTTTGGATGTGTTGGCAATCTCTTCTGACCAAAAAGTCTTAGTTTCCTGATTTCTAGCATCATCAAAGTGCTAAATACACATTACGGTCCTAAACTCCACTCATGATGAACAATAAATGAACTTACCACACCCAAATATCAAATGGATGCTGGAAAATACTTCAAAGAATCTTCGCTTAATCTAAACAAGTTTTTATGGGAAAAAACTGAATCTGCACTGATCCAAAACGAGTTTGCACGATTCCAATCCAAACACACAATCAATCAATCAATCACTTCAAGATGGTGTACTTTTTAAGTAAAATTTGCAGCTTTTATATTCAGAATTATCCTAATTTTTCTCTTCCAAATTTGACTCCAGGGCTCTCAATCATATCATTTTACTAGATCAACTGAACAAAACAGTGGCATGTTTGGTAGATTCCGCTCCAAGCACAACAGGGCAGCATCACTTAATGAGGAACTTCTGAGTTGCCGTGGGGTTGATCTGTGCACATCAACTATAAAGATGGATGCAGATGATTCAGATCTACGACTTTGCTTTCGCATAATTTCCCCATCTAAAACATACACATTGCAGGTAATATATTTGAATCTAGTTGACTTCTGATTTAATATATTTGAATGTAACACAATAAGTTTCTATTACATGTTTTATTTTATTTTGGGGATAAGTCAACTAATTTATTTAAAAATATCCATTTGATTCTACATTATTTGGTGGAGTGGCAGCTTTGGAACAACTATGCTATTTTTAGAGAGCTTTGGCTTAGTCTCGCTAGCTTTTATCCTCTTTTTTACATTTTGGAATGAGCAAAGAGCAGAGAGCTTCAATCAGTCTTGCATAAGCTAGAATTAAAAATGCTTCCATCCATGGATATCTTTAATAAGAGGCTTACATGGAGAAACTAGCTTGTTGCATGTTGTAACAAGCTTTGTACATGTAACATGTATGCTCTAGTTTGACGGGAGTGTTATGATGGTATATTGTTTAGATTATGTGCAATATATTAATCCCTTTTCTAGCTGTATTACATACCGGTCACTGTACTAGCTGCACTATAGTTGTACCACATCCTGTATAGCTCTATTCAAGAAATTACCCACTTACATATCCCAAGCAATTGTGTCTTTTTTCATTCCTAAATTGTTTAAAAAAGTCTCTTTTGTCGTACAATGAACAGAGGGATAACATGGTCTTTTCTTGAACTCGTGATGTTGCATCATTTAGATTGAATACCTTTACTGATGTTGTGGAAAACTTGGTTTTCTGATCTATTTTAATTCTAGCTTGTCTTCTTGTTAGTGGATTCTCTAACTTCATTTTGATCAGGCTGAAAATGAAGCTGATAGGATGGACTGGGTGAATAAAATCACTGGAGCTATTACTTCACTTTTCAACTCTCAGTTTCTTCAACAGGTTCTCTTCTGAAAAGTTTGAAAGCCTAACTATGTGCCTAAAATAATGAATATATTATGTTGATGTGAAAGCCTTGCAATGTGACTTCTGCAGCCTAATTGGCTAGGATTGCATCAAGAAAATGATAAATCAGCCATTGGTGCTTCATGCAATAGTCAATTGCAGCATAGCCGTGGTTCTTTGACTGAAGAAATATATTCCAATGAAGTGGAGAGTGTCTCTAAGATTTTATGGGGAATTCCTGGAAATAATAGGTGTGCGGAGTGCAGTGCAACTGAACCAGACTGGGCATCTCTTAACCTTGGGATATTGCTCTGTATTGAATGCTCTGGTGTTCATCGAAATCTTGGAGTTCACATATCAAAGGTTTATTCTTTCAGAAAGACATGCAAATTATTTATTTCTTTACTGTTTTTAGTTTTTTTATTTATTTATTTTTTGTCAACCAGCTTTTAGGAATGGTTAGTTTTCATAAAGTTCTGTTACTTGTACTGAGCAAACTTTCCTCAATAATGTGATCTCTGTTTTTATATCAGCTATCTAGCATCATCAAGGTTATTGTATCTGTTTCTGCCAACTGCAGGTGAGATCTATAACGTTAGACGTCAAGGCTTGGGAACCTACTATTCTGGACTTATTCCGGAATTTGGGTAATGCATATTGTAATTCTATATGGGAGGAATTGCTACATGACAACGCATGGTAAATAGTTTGCTTTTTTTAGGAAAATTACAATTGCTTTGTTAGTTGAGAGTACTTAATTATAGTTTTACAGTCTTATTACGCTCTAATACTTCCTAATCCCCGTCCTATACTACTTTGTCCTAACGTTTTCATTTACTGGGCATTCATTACCCCCTAGTTACTGAATTGACTGAGATTTGAGAATTGTTATTGTTTTTCCTTTTTATCCCTTTCTGGTTCTAGTATCGTTTACTAGAGAATAATCCTATTTGTCCGAACAACTATCTGCAGGAAAGATGTGTCAACGGTGCCAATTAAACCATGCCCCACAGATGCCTTTCAAGAGAAGGAAAAGTACATCCATGTGAAGGTTAGTGCTGGTACTTTAATTTCACGGTGTGTGCAAGGATCTCTGATCTGCTTTGAAAGAGACGACTTTACATATTAGATATGTGACAACTTTCAACGAGTGAGAAAGCATGTTGATTTATTTTCATTTCAGTTCTTAACAATCTTAGTTCCTTCATTCAATGGCTGCCAACCATAGTAATAACAATGAAAATAAATGAATAATATGAAGTTGGTTTTATTTAAGGCATGTATCTGCAAGCATTCCATTTAATCACTTTTTTCAATTTTGAGTGAGTCTAAGGTCTTGTTTGAAAGTTTTCAGGACAGTGGGCGTGGAGTGGTCATTAATGGGGTGGGTCTGTATATTGAAATTTGAAGCTTCCATTTAAAAAGGGATGGTAACCATTTCACTTTATTTGAAAGTTATCATGTCATTAGTGGTGCGGGGTGTGAACCTAATGTATCAATCTCCAATATTTCTTTCATTTGGAGGAGATGGGACATTGGAATGCAAGGCAAGGGAGATTGGATTGGGAATTCTTCCTTTCAACCATAAAAACATTAGTTTACTTTTTTCCCCACCTCATTCAAACTCATTCCACCCTCCCAGACAAGCCATACAGAATTTATTTGCAAGGAATTTGATCATAAGCTTATAATATGGAATATGATGATCATTTTTAATTTCTAAGAATTTGAAATGAAATGCTTGGTGTTTATTTTCATGGAAAAATCTTGGACACGCAATTTTTCTGAGTAATTACATCAGATTGCTAATCTCTGTAATCCTTTATTTCTCCAATCCTTTTCTTGGTTAAAAAAAAGAATCTCACATGGCAATTCTTTATAGTAGTGCATCAATTTTGCATGTTGACACCTTTGTTCTGTGCAACTGCATGTCTGATTTGGAAGTCTCGTTGTCTCCACAGTTGTTACTAGATTCTAAATATCATATTGTTCATGTTCTTACTATAAACAGTACATAGAGAAGTCACTAATCAATAAAGAGACTGTACCCGGGAACCCTTCTCTTGCCATAAGAATCTGGCAGGCTGTCCAGGATTTGAATATACGAGAAGCGTATCGCCTCATTGTCACTTCAGATGCAACTCTGGTAAACACCAAATATGATGATGTGGTTCACCGTGCTGAGGCAGAAAACTTGGATTGCAGATGTAGCACAACTAAAAACCAGCAAAATCCTGATAATCCTGTGAGCTGTCTCCAAGGTTGTTCGCTGTTACATCTGGCTTGTCATTCTGACAGTGAACTAATGGTTGAGTTGTTGCTTCAATTTGGTGCGGATGTAAATGTGCAAGACGCCCATGGCAAGACTCCCTTGCACCATTGCATTTCTAGAGGAAAAAAATCCTATGGCAAAGCTTCTTCTGCGAAGGTAATACTATCATTTTCAGCATCTTGTCTGCTCTCATTGTTTTGGCGTGATTTATAATTCCTTTACCAAACTAACATTTAATTTTATTTCATTAATGTCACAGACCATTGCATGGCTTTTCGTAATTTATTTTATATACGTGATGCACGCTTTTTGAGAAAACAAGAAATAACATGTTTATGAATCAGGGGTGCAAGACCTTCCATTAAAGATGGTGATGGATTCACTGCACTTGAAAGAGCAATGGAGATGGGAGCAATAACTGATGAAGAGCTATTTATTTTGCTTGCCGGATCCGCTTAAAAATGGAAATGGTAGGTAACTTGTTAAAGCATGTTTGGCAGTCTGTTTGTCTATAATCACAAGTCTGATGTCTTGTTTTAGCATCGCACATTTCAGAATAAGTGGGAAATCTGGTTCTCATTGGGGTTCAATTTATTTAGGTGCGTGCTTCTCTTGGATCATTGCACTTGTAAATCACATGCTGCTTTGAGGCTTTTTTATCCATATTATCGATCTGCAACACACGGCATTGGTTGATCAATATTCCTTCAGTCTGTTTATGTTATGATTCCTAAACTTTTAAGAAAAATTGTAACCTGTATTACGTATTCTTCTTCTTCTAAACTTTTTTTTTTTTTAATGGTGAACTGTAATTTTCGTGCATATATTTGTACGTTCCTAGGTTGCAGACCATGTTTGATTTGGCACCGTTTTAGTAGCCCAAGAAAATTTTCGAACGTAATTGAATCAATATACGTGTCTTTGTCTCTCTCTCTCTCTCTCTCTATATATATATATATATGATAAGCTGAATCAATAATGATATTAGTTTAAATATCAATTATATTTACCTAAAAAGATATCGATGAATTCTGAACATTTTATTATTTACTGTACATGAAAATAAAGTCTTGCACTATGGGTGCACAAAATAATGTATTTACTTTTAAAAAGGCCTAAATTCTATAAGTATTAAATGTTTAACATATGAGACTCTAATTTTGACTTCTATTTGTATTATTATTTAATTAAAATGTTAAATAAGCTAAATATAAATTTTGCAATAGTAAACTATATTTTACGTACAGTTAATTTTAAATATATAAAATTTAATGTTAAAACTGTAAAGCATAAAAAGGATGGTGTAATTGATAAGTATTTAGCTTATAACATACAAGATTGTAAAATTAAATTTTATTGTTGATATGAAAACTGTTATTGAGCAATCAATAAGTTTTTCTATAAGTGTTTTTTAAGATTGAAGGTATATCTTGACTTTGGTGAGTTTTTATGATGTAATTCATTTAATCTTTTATTTATAAAAAAATAAGAGTTTGGTAGATAGAAATAAGGTCTTTAATTTTAGCCCTTTGATAGATTAAATATGGTGCATGTGTGTACATATGTATAGGTCCAATAATGACAAAAAAAAAATTCATAATTTTAGCATACAAGTATGGACAATATTTACATACATCACCTTATACACACCCACACACATCATACTTTTAACAAGAAAACATACAAATCAGCAATATAAAAACTTTGACTAATGATCAAGTATGTCAAAAGTTTAATGATATTAATTATGACCAACGAAAAAATTATATTTTCTGTAAGTTTTTGAGTCATTTTAAAATATTTAGATGGAAAAATAATGATACAAACGTTAAAATATGTGGATTATCAATTGATATATACTAAATCTCATTAAAATATTATTCATCTACGGTTGAAAAGTTGTTATTTTGGTTGATCCTAGTTTGGGTGTCCCCCATTTGAACGAGAAAACAGACAAAAAAAATTGTTATCTATGTTTCAGTATAATTAACATAAAAAATTTTAGGATAAAAATAATTTTTAATTCCTATATTTTACTCTTGTTTTACTTTTAATCCCTATATTTTTTTTCATATTTTAAATCCTTATACTTTTATTTTTTATTATTTTAAATCCTTTTAAGATTTCTACATCTTGCTGATAGGGGGATAAAAAATAATAAAAAATAAAAGTATAGAAATTTAAACACCGATAAAAAAGTATAGGGATAAAAAACAAAACGTGATTAAACTATAGGGATCAAGTTTATCTAAAATTTTAAATAAGATAAATTGTTTATAGATATATATATATATATATATATATATATTTGTATGTGTAAGTTCTTATAAGTTTCTATATTCTAATTATTAAAAACTTCTTCTGCATCATAATGAGATTACTTGTTTATTTCTTTATTTATTTTGCGTTTTGCATTATCGTTTCCAAGACCGGCGAGTTTAAGCGGCTGCCCGAAAGGTTGGGAAATCGGAATATCCATAACATGTATCGAGCGGTTAAGGCTTTATGGCGCCAAACAAAATTACGCACTACCTAACAAGTTCCAATGCTTCGAACAAGATATATAACATCTTACATTCAAGAAATATTGATCAGTCAAATAGGATTTGTGACATTCCCTTCAAATTCACGGACTATTGCAACTTCCAGCTGTAATGTTCGTCTTCAAGAAGCTTTACTACAAATGGCCCTTCTTGGCCATCAAATCAAGTTCGAAGGTTACCACGCCCTCTTGAATGAGTGTGTGAACCAAAGGGCCTTTAGAGAAGGACAGAGAGTGCATGCCCACATGATCAAAACTGATTATTTCCCATCTGTATACCTCAGAACAAGGCTGATCGTCTTCTATGCAAAGTGTGAGTCATTGGGTGATGCGCGGCGAGTGCTCGATGAAATGCCTGAACGAAATGTGGTGTCGTGGACGGCCATGATTTCTGCTTATTCTCAGAAGGGTTATGCTTCCGAGGCTCTCACTCTCTTTCTATACATGTTTAGATCAGGTATGCTTGGTTTGCGCATGTTAATTACTAGAGTGTGTTGATGCAATTATCTTAAAAACTGATTGTGGATTAATCCTCATATGTTCATCATGCGATCTTTTTCTTTTTCGTCCGTAAAGTGTCATTTTTTTTTGGAGGCCAAGTTTGGAGAAATTCTTCGGCATGCATGATGAACCACATGATTTATGATGAAACAATAAATATTTACTAAAGCTAGGGTGTTAAGTGGTGGAAATGGCTTCTTCCATCGCATGGCTGTAGAATTTATCAATGATTCGTTCGAAATTTTATGGAGACGTCATTTTGTGATGTACACGGTTATCTTACCTTTGCACTTAAGAGAACTAAATCATATATGAACAAACACCTTTATTGAATTTAGAAGGGCTTATTGACTGATGAAATGAAAATGAGATATCAAAAGCTTCTTTTTCTTTCTTTTGTTTTTTTTGGTGGGTGGTTGAATTTCATAAGCTTATATTCAACAACAACAACAAGCCTTTATCCCACTAGGTGGGGTCGGCTACATGGATTGCAAGACGCCATTGTGCTCTATCATTTATTAAGCTTTTAGAAATATTATTAATTAAGAGATCACGTTCAACAACTTCCAAGAGTGTTCTCTTAGACCTTCCTCTACCTCTCTTAGTCGGATTCAAAGTTATATGTTCCACTCTTCTCACTGGTGCCTCCCTTGGTTTCTTTGTACATGCCCAAACCATCTCAACCGATTTTCTACCATTTTTTCCTCAATAGGTGCCACCCTCACTTTTTCACGTATGTGCTCATTTCGAATTTTATCTTTACGTGTATGTCCGCACATCCATCGTAACATTCTCATCTCTGCTACTCCAACTTTATGCTCTTGCTGTCCCGTTAGAGCCCAGCATTCACTACTATATAACATTGCCGGTCTGATAGCAGTACGATAAAACTTTCCTTTAAGTTTATTAGGCACCTTACGGTCACAAATAACTCTTTAGCTTTTCTCCAATTAAACCACCCAGCTTGAATTCTATGTGAAATATCTCCACTGATTTCGCCATCATTTTGAATAATGGCTCCTAAATATCTAAACTTTTCCACTTGAGGTATAATTTGATCTCCAATTTCACTTCCAAATTATTTTCGAATAGTCCTTTACCAAATTTACAATATAAATATTCCGTCTTACTTCTACTCAGACGAAAACCTTTCGACTCCAATGTCCTCCTCCATAACTCAAGTTTGCAATTAACCTCTTCTCTTGTCTCTGCTATAAGAACTATATCATCCGCGAAGAGCATACATTTCGGGATTTCCTCTTGAATATGTTCCGTCAAAACATTTAAAATCAAGTTGAACAAATAAGGACTCAGAGATGATCCCTGATGTAGTCCAATCTTTATAGGAAAATCCTTTGTTTGACCACTAGGCGTTCTTATACTAGTTTTTACCCCCTCATACATATCTTGTATGGCTTTAATATAAGCAATCCGTACTCCCTTTTTTTCCAACGCTTTCCAAAGCACTTCTCTTGGTATACGGTCATAAGCTTTTTCCAAATCAATAAAAACCATGTGTAGATCTTTATCTTTACAACGATACTTTTCCATTAATCCCCTTAGTAGATAAATCGCCTCTGTAGTTGATCTACCTGGCATAAAACCAAATTGATTCTCAGAAATACTTGTCTCCAATCTCAACCTGTGCTCAATTACTTTCTCCCACAATTTCATTGTGTGGCTCATGAGTTTAATCCCTCTATAGTTAGTACAATTCTGAATATCTCCTTTATTTTTATAAATAGGAATTAATGTACTTCTCCTCCACTCATCAGGCATTTTCTTGGACCGTAAAATCACATTAAATAACTTAGTTAACCATCTCACCCCTTCTTCACCTAAACATTTCCACGCTTCGATAGATATACAATCAGGTCCGTTAGCTCTACCATTTGCCATTTTCTTAAGAGCTTCCTTTACCTCCTTATCACGTATTTTTCGATAGAATGACAAATTTTGTTCTCCTTCACCAGTTACTAAATCCTCCAAGTTACTAGATGAATCCTCTCCATCATTGAAAAGTTTAGAAAAATAAGTCTCCCATCTATTTTTAATTTCATCATCTGTAACTAAAATTCTTCCCTCTTCATCCTTAATACACCTTACCTGTTCTAGATCTCTTGATTTTCTTTCCCTACTCTTGGCAATCTTATAAATATTTTGCTCTCCTTCCTTCGTCTCAAGGTTCTTATAAAATTCTTCAAAAGCTTTGGAACGAGCTTCACCCACAGCTCTCTTAGTTTCCTTCTTAGCCATACGGTACCTCTCCCAATTTTCCTCATTGTTACACAAATGTATGGCTTTAAAACAGTTCTTCTTATACTTGATTTTGTCCTGTACACTATTATTCTACCACCAAGACTCCTTATCTCTCGGACCAGAACCTTTCGATTCTCCCAAAACTACTTTTGCAACCTCCCGTATTTTTTTAGCCATATCCTCCTATATGATGTTAGCACTTCCCTGAGAATCCCAATTCCTTTATCCAAAAGATTTCGCTTGAAAATATCTTGCTTCTCACCTTTTAATTGCCACCACCTAATCCTTGGTGTTACTACTTGTCGACGTTTTTGGATTTTACTCATAATACACACATCAAGGACTAAGACCCTATGTTGTGTCGTTACAGCATCTCCAGGGATCACCTTACAATTTTTACAAAGTTTTCTATCTGTGTTCCTAACCAAAAGAAAATCAATCTGCGACCTTGAGGCTCCACTTTTGTAAGTGATGAGATGCTCATCTCTCTTCTTGAAACAAGTGTTGGCAATCTTAAAATCATACGCCAATGAGAAATCAAGAAGAGTTTGCCCTTCATTGTTTAGCTTTCCAAAACCAAAACCACCATGCACCCTCGCATACTGACTAGCTTCCCTCCCGACATGCCCATTAAAGTCTCCTCCAATAAAAATCTTTTCACTCTGTGGTATGTGTCGAATCAACCCCTCCAGATCCTCCCAAAATAATTCTTTAAGACTGGCTTCTGTCCCGACTTGCAGCGCATAAGCGCTAACAATATTAACAGTTTCACGTCCAATTATCATTTTTAAAGAAATAATTCTGTCTCCAATTCTGCTAACTTCTACAACGTTCTTCTTCCACTCCTTATCTATAATGATGCCTACTCCATTGCGTGCACTTACTTTTCCTGTATACTAAAGTTTGAAACCTTGAATATCCTTAGCTCTTCTCCACGCCATTTTGTTTCTTGCAAGCAAAGGATATTGATTTTCCTTTGAATCATAACCCCTACAACCTCTACAGATTTACAATTTAATGTCCCAACATTCCAAGTACCAAATCTAATTTCATAAGCTTATATTAATTAGGAAAAAAGCTTTCGGTTATGTCACAGTTTTTTCCATTTTCCTCTTATGCCTGCTATCTAAATTTTTCCCCGTGCTGATGGTCGCTATACATTTCATACATTTCGATTTGCAGGAACAAAACCTAATGAGTTCACTTTTGCAACTGTACTTACTTCATGCACAGGTTCTTCTGGTTTTGTCTTGGGAAGGCAAATCCATTCACTTATCATTAAATCAGATTATGAATCTCATGTCTATGTTGGAAGCTCACTTCTTGACATGTATGCCAAAGCTGGAAAAATTCATGAAGCTCATAATGTATTCAAATGCATGCCAGAAAGGGATGTAGTTTCTTGTACTGCTATAATCTCTGGGTATGCTCAACTGGGTTTTGATGAAGAGGCGTTGGGACTATTTCGCCAGCTTCAAAGGGAAGGAATGCAATCAAATTATGTTACTTATGCAAGTATTTTAACTGCGCTGTCTGGGCTTGCAGCTCTAGATCATGGTAAACAAGTGCATAATCATGTTCTTCGTTCTGAAATCCCCTCATTTGTTGTCCTTCAAAACTCTTTGATTGACATGTACTCAAAATGTGGAAACCTCACCTATTCAAGGAGGATCTTCGATACCATGTCAGAGAGAACTGTTATATCTTGGAATGCAATGATTGTGGGGTATAGCAAACATGGAATGGGCAGAGAAGTGCTTGATCTTTTCACTTTAATGGGAGAAGAAAATAAAGTCAAGCCTGACAGTGTCACAATTCTGGCTGTGTTATCTGGTTGCAGTCATGGAGGACTGGAAGATAGGGGGCTGGATATCTTCAATGATATGGCCAATGGTAAACTTGGAGTTGAGCCAGAGATTGAGCATTATGGTTGTGTTGTTGACTTGCTGGTCGTGCTGGTCGAGTGGAAGAGGCTTTCAAATTCATCAATGAAATGCCCTTTGAGCCAACAGCTGCTATATGGGGTTCCCTTTTAGGTGCCTGTAGGGTTCATTCGAATGTTGACATAGGTGAACTTGTGGGCCGTCGACTTCTAGAAGTTGAACCTGGCAATGCTGGGAATTATGTTATTCTGTCTAATCTATATGCTTCAGTAGGAAGATGGGAAGACGTAAGATCATTGAGAGATCTGATGTTGAAGAAGGCTGTAATCAAGGAGCCTGGAAGGAGCTGGATTGAGCTTGATCAAATACTCCATGCTTTTCATGCAAGTGATCGTTGCCATCCAAGAAGAGAGGAGATATTTGCAAAGGTGAAGGAGTTATCAATCAAGTTCAAAGAAGTTGGTTATGTTCCTGATTTGAGTTGTGTCCTATATGATGTGGATGACGAGCAGAAGGAGAAGATACTTCAAGGCCATAGTGAAAAATTGGCTTTGAGCTTTGGCTTAATTGCCACCCCAGGAGGAGCACCAATCCGCATTATAAAAAAATCTCCGAATTTGTGTTGATTGCCATAATTTTGCCAAATTGATCTCAAAGATTTATGAAAGAGAAGTGTCTTTAAGGGATAAAAATCGTTTTCATCGAATCATGGAGGGAGATGTACTTGTGGCGATTATTGGTAAGAAGATCTTGGACAGTCATAATTGTCAGGAGAAATCTTCTCCCCAAAGTTGCAATAGCGGTCGCTAAAAATGATGATTGAGTAATGAAAAGAATTCCCACCAAGAATTGGGAAACGAAGGACTGGAACCGATTATTGATCGACCTGGGAGGATCTAGCAGTGACTGCAAACATGAAATTTTTTGGGGGAATCTGCTTGCACATTTGCCTCAGATAATTTATTTTTGGAGACTATTTTAGAAAGGATTACGGGGAGAACTGTAGATGTAGGAGCAAGTGGTGGGTGGATGAAAGCTGGGATACACTTCTGGAATGAAATGTGGTTTCACGACACCTGCAATACGTTCTTGTCTTGAGTCCGTATTATGTTATTTAGTAGGTCAAGTCAAGAATATGAATGCTTCAGAAGAAGAACCCAATAGGTATATTGAAGTGAGATTTAAGTTCGTCAGGTCCTAAATGATTAGCCATTCGAGTTTTTAGACGAAAGGTTTAAAATTTTTTATGGTTTATTCCTCAAAGATCTTGGAGACAGCTATTTGTCACATCGTTCAGGATTTATGTGTCTGTTCTTGCAAAATCTCAGTGGCAGCATGTTCACCTTAAACTTAAATCGACTTGTTTTTTGTGATATAGTTATAGCTCTAATCCCTTGTCATGTATTTTTAATCAGGTAGATGGATTCTCTTCTCTGTAACCTGTGTCGAAATCTATTTTGTTTTATTGTTATGTTTTAAATATAGATTTGGAGCTTTTGTTGGGTCCCTTGCCGGAAGAAACCCCATAAGGAGGAGAACAAATCTATTATAGAAAGTGTGGAGTTCACCTTCGAGTCCGCTGGGAAAAGCCAAGATGAATTTTCTGGAGAAGACAAAGTTCCCTTGACGAAGAGAAAATGTAGTTTGAAAGACAAAGTAGGACTGTTTCTTGACTAGGGTATATGGATCCATTGGAACCATTACATATCTCACAGCACACACAGCACACCACAAGATCAAGCTCTTATGCGACTTACGGTAAATGTGCCTGTAAATCATTCTTTCGTTCGTCATTGTCTCATCCTAGTTAAAGTTTGTCACAATTTATGGATCAAATTCTTATACAGTAAAAGTGAAGTCTAATCAGAAGGTCCAGCATCTTTTCAATCTGACAAAGCATCTGCATTTGACAACTCACAGGAATGGTTAGTAAAAGCTGTTGCAATGAAAGAACCCACCTTTGGTTCTGATGACACAATGCAGAATTGGAAAAGCAAACATATAACCAAATATATGAACTTTCTGCATTTGAGATTTTTTTTCCTTTTGTATTTTTTATAGACAGTGTACTTAAAATTAAAAGAATAATTATGAATGTCTATGCAAATTAGGAATTGTTCTTGTTGGAATGTAAATAGGAGGTGTAATTGAACATACATAACATGTGTTTTATTCTATAATTGGTACTAGGTGAAGAATAGGATATTATTCTGTAAATATCAGTCTTTAATGACCTGTAACATCGGCTATAAATACAGAGCTTCATGTGGATACTAATTACATTTCACTCAAGGGTTTTCCCACCCCACTCCCTCCCTAATCTCTATATCTTACAGTGAATGGGAATTGGCGATTTGTGATTGATAGTTAAGCTTTTCTTCTACTTAATTAAGATTAGTTAAAGAAGTAAAGATTTCTTGTTCTTGCAAATTGGGGTTGTTAGGATATCTAAGCACGGAACTTTTGCGTCTTCCAGTTTTTTATTTTATTAATGAATTGAAACCGAGAGTTTGCTCATTGTCTTCTAAGTGGCTTGCGTTGTGTATCATATATACACGTCTAAGTAGCATATAAAGCTTAAAGAAGATTGGGAGGAGAAAGAGATAACTATTTAAATAAGGTTTAAGCTTAATATTACTTAAAGTGGTGAATTTTTTTGGCTCTCAGACAGAGAGCGCTGTTAGCCAGAAATTCTGTAAAATGGCAACCGTTTTAATCATGTTCTCTCTTGAAATTATTGGTGGCTTCTCTTCTGAAACCTTTGGGAAGGTCAGTGGAAACTTGTTTGCTAGTCTCACACATTGTTTACGCAAACTACTTTGTAAGTTGCTAAGACTAAAAGAAGCCAGGTGGTATTAGCATTGGTAGTTGGTAACAATTTTTTTTTTTTCCTGTTTAGAGTATGTTTTAGTTGTCTTTTTGTGTTAGCTTCTGTATATTGAATAAGTTGGGCGTTTTGACAAAGTAATTTATATCTAAAGTACTTGTGCACTTGTGTATGATGACAGTGAAAGCCGAAAGGAAAAGGGGAAAACATATGATGTACAATGAATCGAATTTTTTTTTATTGTACTCTATATATGCATCACTTCAGATCACAGGACTCTTTTAACTACTCGTATGTAAGTATTGGAACAACCTGTTTGACCATTTCTTCCAAGAAATTATTTATGAATCCCATTAATTAGTATATACTGATAGCGTATAATCTATATTATCATCAAAGCATTGGTGTCTTGAACAAGAAATCTTGATAGTCCAATTTTGTGTCCAAATTTTTTGACATCATCCTGAATTTGGTCTCGGTATTCTCCAAAAGTGAATTTCCTATATATGGAAGGCTCTGTGCAGCTTCCTATCAAAGTGTTGTACGATGGGCATAGAAAGTATGCTGTGGAGTATCTCTCCATTTTGTTATTTGCCATGACCTTGTGCTCCACGCTTTTATACTCACCGTTGCTCCATGCCTGTGTTGGGGTTTTGTCAAGAAAAGAACTTGTTAGTGAATTATTCTGTTGATAATTGATGGATCATGATTGTTCTGATTCCCACTGCTTATTATTGATTTTTGTTTTAGCAGTACCAGTTGACAATATGCATGCCTCTGGCTTCAGATGAAGCATTTTTAATTGACTATACTTGGGTAACTTAAGTAGTTTAATTTCTGGTCCCTCGATAAAATCACAACACGTAGAACAACTTAAAAGCTAATGACACAACATCAAGCTATATATGTAATATATAGGCTTTTTCATGGGTATGTTGAAATTTTTATGACAAATTTCAGAACATTGTATGTACATTTATTCTTTTCAATTTATTCATTAACTGAATAGTAGCTGCACCAGTTGGAATGAGGTCCACTTTTTCAGGTTTCTATTCATTTCTTTCAGCAGTTTTAAAATCTGCAAGTCTACTTAAAAGGATTCTTGATTGAAAATACATTCATGTTGAACTGCAAAAAAAACATTTACTCTGTTTTATTGTTACTGAAAAACTTGACAACAAAAATGTAAAACTGCACTTGTGTTTTGATCTTGAAGAGCTGGAAGATACATTCCTAATGAATTGTCCTTCAACTGATCTAGTTGTGTATTAGCATGCTAGTTTCTAGAGCAATTTTGTAAGAAACATTCGAAGTCTCACCTGGAAAAGGTCTCCAATGTTAACAATGAGAGCATCTGGGTTTGGTTTGACGGCCACCCATTTGGAATCTTTCATGAGCTGGAGTCCACCCACATGATCTTGATAGAGGATTGTTAGGAAATCACTATCAGTGTGAGGCACTAGTCCAAAAGTTTCTTCTTCTCAGATTTTGGGCAAGCAGGGTAGTGATTCAGTCTAAGAAAACATGTGCTTTCATCGCAAACTTTCTCAACTGCGTCTTTTGGATTCCCCAAATTCTCTGCTAGAATACCTGCTAATAACCTTGATAGTCTCAACATTGCTGCCGCAAATTCATTTATCACCTCCCTGTAGATACAGTTGGAAACCGAATTCAATTATTTTGTATTCACAAATAATTGATTTTGTTGGGGTGTCAACATCAAGAACGACCAAAAAAGCTCTAATTTGTTTGCATGCGCTTTAATTTTATTCTTATTTGTAATTATTCATCTATTGTTTTTCTTCCATCATTGAAAATTTTCTTGAGAATAAAAGAAAGTTGGACCAAAATGATTCATAAAAAAAAGAAAAACTTTTTAAAAGCAGTGAGCAAATAAACCATTAAGGCTCTGAAATTTCCAAATACTTCTCTCACAGAAAAATAAAAGATTTCGTTGGTTGGTCGGCATCCATAATAGCCAAAAAAGCTCGTATTTGTTTGCTAGCGCTTTTAGTTTATTCTTGCTCGTAATTTATTCATGTATTGTTTTTCTTCCTTCATACGAAATTTTCTTAAGATGAAAAACGAGTTGTACCAAAAGATCAAAAAGAAAAAGAAAAAAAAAAAAGAAAACATCTAAGAGCAGTAAGAAACAAACACCGATGGCTTTAAGCTCTGAATCTTGGGTCCTGGCTTTCATGACAAGCTCCAAATACTTCTCAAGCCACAGAAAAACGGAAGATTTTGGTTGTGGGGTCGGCATTAATAAAACAACCAAAAAGCTCTTATTTGTTTACAGGAGCACCTAATTTATTCCTGTTTGTTCTTTATTCATGTATTTTTTATCTTCCTTGATATTGTGAAAGAAGGTAGAACTTGAAGAAAAAACATGAAGCATTGAAATTGCTATGGGTAGGGGACATGAAACACTAGGACAAGCTAAGATGTATAAACTTCAAAATGCTGTTTAGAGTGTAATGTTGAATCTGATGAGTGCCGTGTTGCACATGTATCAGATATGATACAACATTTGTTGACGCTTCTTGCATATGGAGAGATGGATTTTCAACCAAAATAGATAAAGGCTAAGGATTCTGATACCTTAAAGAATTGAATTCACCCCAGCAAGCTGGTTCTGAAATCTTGGAGAGAGGAATGTGGAAAGCTTCTGACCATGAGAACTGATTCGGACGAGTAGCTGTTGGTGTCCCCCACCTGTATGAGTTATTCAGAAGCCCACATGTTGCCTTATTCTCAAAAGGCATGTCAAACAACTTCACTTGCCCTCTCCTCATCTTTCTCAACAATTCAGAGTCTATTCCATGGTTGACAACTCGGAAGAATCCCCATTCTGATGCTGCCTTGCATATTGCTGCAGAACATGCAAGCCTCTGTCTTTCATCACAGCTCTCGAGACCACCGAGGTCTATCAGTGGCAGCTTACATTCCTTTATTACAGAATGATGATTATGATCATAGAAGGAACTTCTATTCTGGTGGCCTTTACCTGATTCTTGTAAGAGCCTGCCATAATGTTGCTGGAGGGGTGGATTTGATTCAATCATTTTGCAGGCTGGTTGTTTTTGATCAAAGTAGGGAAAGAGAAACAGGACTGCGTCTGAAAAATGGTTCTGTATTTAGGCCTGAAAATGTTTCATGCATTTATAAGAAACCATGTCATCGTGTTTATGTCATGCCTAGGATCATTCTATTCCCGAAAGCAAGGCAAGTGCAGGACAGAGTTCAGAAGTGGACAATCGGTGAAGACAAATATATAGGGGTTGTCAGGCCTGACATTTGTCAGAGAGATAGTGATGTTGAACTATCTTTCCACTGAGCCTAGACAATGGCCATGAAATAATATATTGTCAAAACTGGAGAAGTTAGCAAATGAGAACAAAAGAGGATTCAGAGTTCAGACCTAACTTCATCTCTTGTCTTTGTAGGCGGCATAAAAAGATTGATTCTACCCACGTTGGAGAGAATCCTTCCAATCCAATGATGCATCCTCATTGACTGAATATTGGATTTTTAAATTCATTTGTTTATTCTTTTGGTGTATTGGAGTAGGATAGGGAATCGAGCACGGGGAAGAGTTATAAATTTTGGATTCTCCAGATTTATTTGTAAATTTGATACAGTTCATTTATGAGAGAGATAGTCATAATATACATATATATATATATATATATAACAATTATTTGAAGTTTATATATTATGGCCCTGTTGACTTGAGGTTTAAAAAAATATGAAATGATACCTAATGATATTGGAAGTAATTTGAATTTGAGATGGTCAAATTACCTAAAATAGTTGGCCTTTCTATTCTAATAGTATAGAAACCCTGTGTCTGCTGCAAAAATTGTTGCCATCTTAATGTCATTGTCATCTAAATTTGTCTTGGTTCATAAAAGTCTTGTAAATGACAATGTGGTCAATAGATGAACGACATTATGATGCTTACACCTCCGGCCTTTCCTGCATAATCTATATTAAGTGATTAATAGTTGGCTCAAGATTCCCAAAAAAAAAAAAAGAAAGAAAAGGTTATTGATCTGAACCGTGGTAATAAACCGTAGTAATAAAAATAAATAAATCAAAATATTCTAGGAATCGAACCTAGGAAGAAACAATATTTTTATCATCTCAAATAAGTGAATAATTGTCAAGAAAAATCGAATTAAAACTAAAGGATTGCAATTAAATGAGCAACGCGAGATTTTAATTTTACCCTTAACTTTATCTCATAATCTTATTTTCTTTTAATTGACCTTTAATCTATACTACTATCTATATATCTATGTCAATATATATAAAAGAATCGAAGATTGCATTTTCTTAAACATTAAACAATGAACAAACTAGTTCACTTCAAATCCTGTATAAAGCATGGGACCTTCACGTTATTTTTTAAAAACTAATCAAAATTTTCTTTTCTAACACCATTAAAAAATATTTTCTTATTATTTTTCCCTTTTGTTTGTGAGTAATTTTGCAACGGATCTAAACAAATGTTTGTTTGTTTTTTTTTTTTAATGCGTATTGACGTCTATCAAGTGTCAATTCATTCATGGAAGCCCCACATCGATTGCAAGAAGAAAAATAATAGGCTTCCTTGTTGCATTCAGCAGGCAGTGTTTTTCTTTTCTTTTTTTTCTTTTTGAAATAAAGTCAAATGAATATATTAGCTAAAAAGCAGAATAAGTAGTCTAACAATTCATGTCAGTGTTCATGCTTTTATTTGAGGAAACAAACGCATTATTTTATACTCTTATATTATTTTTCCCTATGATTTTATGAGTACTTTTGCAGCCGATATGGACATATGTTGATGTTGTTCATACGTATCAATGTCTAAGTATACGTTGGAGAGAATCCTTCCATCCAATGATGCATCCTCATTGACTGATATTGGATTTTTAAATTCATTTGTTTATTCTTTGGTGTATTGGAGTAGGATAGGGATCGAGCACGGGGAGAGTTATAAATTTGGATTCTCCAGATTTATTTGTAAATTTGATACAGTTCATTTATGAGGGAGATAGTCATAATATACATATATATATAATATATAAAACAATTATTTGAAGTTTATATATTATGGCCCTGTTGACTTGAGGTTTAAAAAAATATGAAATGAACCTAATGATATTGGAAGTAATTTGAATTTGAGATGGTCAAATTACCTAAAATAGTTGGCCTTTCTATTAATAGTATAGAAACCCTGTGTCTGCTGCAAAAATTGTTGCCATCTTAATGTCATTGTCATCTAAATTTGTCTTGGTTCATAAAAGTCTTATAAATGACAATATGGTCAATAGATGAACGACATTATGATGCTTACACCTCCGGCCTTTCCTGCATAATCTATATTAAGTGATTAATAGTTGGCTCAAGATTCCCAAAAAAAAAAAAAAAAGAAAAGGTTATTGATCTGAACCGTGGTAATAAACCGTAGTAATAAAAATAAATAAATCAAAATATTCTAGGAATCGAACCTAGGAAGAAACAATATTTTTATCATCTCAAATAAGTGAATAATTGTCAAGAAAAATCGAATTAAAAACTAAAGGATTGCAATTAAATGAGCAACGCGAGATTTTAATTTTACCCTTAACTTTATCTCATAATCTTATTTTCTTTTAATTGACCCTTTAATCTATACTACTATCTATATATCTATGTCAATATATAATATAAAATGAATCGAAGATTGCATTTTCTTAAACATTAAACAATGAACAAACTAGTTCACTTCAAATCCTGTATAAAGCATGGGACCTTCACGTTATTTTTTAAAAACTAATCAAAATTTTCTTTTCTAACACCATTAAAAAATATTTTCTTATTATTTTTCCCTTTTGTTTGTGAGTAATTTTGCAACGGATCTAAACAAATGTTTGTTTGTTTTTTTTTTTTAATGCGTATTGACGTCTATCAAGTGTCAATTCATTCATGGAAGCCCCACATCGATTGCAAAGAAGAAATAATAGGCTTCCTTGTTGCATTCAGGCAGTGTTTTCTTCTTTTCTTTTTTTTCTTTTTGAAATAAAGTCAAATGAATATATTAGCTAAAAGCAGAATAAGTAGTCTAACAATTCATGTCAGTGTTCATGCTTTTATTTGAGGAAACAAACGCATTATTTTATACTCTTATATTATTTTTCCCTATGATTTATGAGTACTTTTGCAGCCGATATGGACATATGTTGATGTTGTTCATACGTATCAATGTCTAAGTATTGGAAGAAAAGTAAACGCTAACGGTAATTCTATTATTGAGCAATGACTATTTAGTTAAATAAACAAACAATTCCAAGTCCAGAATTTATGCAGGAGAAAAGGCTCATATAGAAAGTTGTATAACTTGCGACACTTTGTTTGGTTCGTCCACTGGCATCACATGCAAGTTGTGAGATGAAGTGAGGTTGCTGAGAGGGTGAGTGATGTTGAGTTGGTAATGACCATGAAAAAGTGTAGCCTCAAGAAATCCATTGGAGTCTGTTGTGGCTTCCAGTGCTTGTGTAAATCCCCACTCATGAAAAAGCTTATCCACAACATCTCCGCAGGGCAAGTTCTTGAAATTCTCATCAATCAAACACATTCCACACTCTTTCCAAGCTGTCCACAGAACAATGCCCTGAATATGTGGGTGGGAGTGTGCCTCTCTCAGAACTTGCTCCAGGTAGTCTGCCTACACAAATCATCATTAACGGTCAAAGAATCAAATTAGTCATGCTTGTCTTAAATTTTGTTGAAAATATATGGCCATGTCTTCTATTTCCAAAAGCAAAAGCAAAATTAACATGCAGGGCAAGTGCTTACTTGGTTTGGCATGTTTTTGACTTCCACTTCTGTAAGCCAAAGCGGTGAGCCACTAGCAGCAAGAGTATCAATAGATGATCTCATGTAAGGAAGATTAGGAGGAATACTGAAATGGGACTCAAGCCCAATTCCAATTGGCCATCCAGTATAACCAGGATATCCCTTAATCTCTCTGAGCTTCTCCAAGTACTTTGCTGGGTCTGATACACCATCTCTACTGTCCTCAATGGTATTAAATTCATTCAGAAACAAAGTGGGCTGTCCATCAATGTTGTGAGCATCATGATAAATTTTGGCTGAAGCATCGTTTCCAAATTTGCTTTCTAGAAATGAAAAGTGCATATTTTCATTAACCACATCCCAAGCAACAAGTTGACCCTTGTATCGCGACACAACCGAGTTAAGCCTTTTCTGAACTGCTATGCTAAGCTGGTCTGGTGGAAGTGAAGGCACCCAACTAGGTTGGTATTTAGGGTCATCCCAAAATACATTGTGACCACGAACAGAAATCTTGTGCTGATTGGCAAAGTTCAACATTGCATCAGCAATGGAGTAGTCCTCTTTGCCTTGTACACTTTCAGTACTGTACCACTTCATTTCGTTTACAAATGTAGTAACTGTGAACCTTGAAGTGAACCAGTTTTGGTATGCAGTACTATCCAGGATGTGCTTGTTCATGGCACAGCCAAATGGAAAATTAGACCTCTTCTGTTCAAAGATTATGCTTGCATTTGGTAAGGGATTGCCTCTTCCATCAATTGCTTGGATTAATACCTTTTTCTTGTGTTTCTGGCAAACCAAAATTAAACCTTCTTTTAGTTTAAGTTTCCTAATACATGCATGCAAGAACGCACACACATTACCACACAAACACATCATAATCATAAGCATTAATTAGGAAAAATGAAACTACAACAACAAAAGATATTACCTTCTCAATGCTTTGCTCTTGATGAAGTCTCCATTGTTTATGTGTAAAAGGCTGTAAGGAAATGCTATCAACCGATATCTCCACAGAAGTGTCATCGCTCTGCACAGTTTAGCATTTTCTCAAGTCTCAAGGAAAATTGAGAATCATCAATTTTGCACATTAAGATTCCCTTTTCTTACAACTAGGGAACAATATTTTCAACTGTGACATAAAAATACCTCAAAATAAAGCTCAGCAGGTCCTGAAGTATCAGCTGTGAGACCACCCTTGAGCATGGACCAGCAATTAGACTCTGCAACAATGGCTCCACCATATTTGAGCCCTTCCCTTGTTTTCAAAACTGCTGAAACTGTAGCATGTCCCTGACTCACTTGGATCCAAGCTGCATAATATTCAATCCATTACCGAGAAAGAAGAGGAGGAGAACAAAGTCAGATGGAGAGAGGAGATAGTTTACCAGATAATGAATAGAGACTATTCTTTCTCATGTGAATCTTCTGGGAGACGCTATCATTTGGGTTATTTCTGTTATGGGCCACAATAAATTTGTTGCCTCTTGATTTTCTTTGTTGTATTTTGGCATCTCCAATTGCAGTCCAGCCTTCCAGCCCTTCATTCAATTCTGGGTTTTTGATGATTCCACCATTGTACAGCGGTTTTTGAGGGTTTTCTAGACACTAAAAGATGAAAACAAAGTGAATCCCACATTCTTGCGTGTTTGTTTCAAAATAAGTTTCAATTCAGGTGAAGTTTCAGAATAAGACTCTCATTAACAAGTAGATGATCATAACCTCCTCCAATTTAGTAAAATTAATATGTTAATTTATTAAGATTAATATTGTTTTGAAAGTTAAAATATTGCTGAAAGAGCTCACCTCGATGCTGGCTGTGTAATCATATGGCAAGGCCTGGCTTTCAAATCCTGTGGAGGCATTATGTATATTGATACCAAAGACTTGAGCAGAACTTCAAAGACTTGATGAATATGAAAATCATTCACATGCCAAGTTTCATATCATGTAATTTTACAGAAGGTAAATGAGGATTTAGTGAAATGAATTGTTATGATATTTTTTATTGTCGATGCACGTTTGCTCGTTTATTATATGAGTTATCATGTTTTATTCGAGCACGATTATATTTAAGGGAATTTTGATATCTTCATATCTATTTGCTTTTTCTTCTTTTTTATTTTTATTTTCTTATATCTGCAAAGGGTAAATGAATTCGTGACAATCATGCCAAAGAAAAAAAAATTAATTACTGCCAAATTTACCTATAATATAAAAATTTGTAACAAAACATATTATTCATTAACCATAAATAGTACAATTCATTTTTCAAACTCCATACAATGTGCAAGATTCATACCAATTCTATAAAAGAAAATATGAATAGGTTTTGAATGTAAAAGTTAGCAATTAGGGATAAAAAATTTAAAAAAAAAATTATGAAGAAGGATGAAAAGCAGAAGTTTTGTTAGTTTAAAAATCGAGAAGGAATAAGAGAGAACTTTTTAGATGAAAGGAAGAAAGGACAGGCGTTTGATTAATAAGCATACGTAAATGATTTTTATTGAATTATATATGGTTTTCTTTAAAAAAAATTGATAATAGCCACATTTATAAAAGCAGAAACATTTATGGACAGCAAACCTGAGAAGAGGATGATAGACAGCAGCACAAGAGGGATGCTCATACTTTTAGCTTCAAACTTGAAGAGATATGCTCTCTTGTTTCTGTGGGAAGGACTACAAATAGTGTAGCATCTTTTGTGGCATGCTTTAATTTAAAGTTTAATTAATTGAAGTTCATGAATGAATATCCATTTGATTGATCATTCATGTAGTAACTACATATAAATGTAAAGAATTTATGGTTCTAGTCTTCCAATGCCATAATTAATGGTAGGACTTACTCCCTCTGTTCTTATTTATTAGGCAGAGAGAGAAAATTTTTTTTGATCTTATTTATAAGTTAAGTTATTAAATTTTTATTAAAAATTTCCTCTTTTACCCTTTATTGAATGTTGGAGAGAAAAAAATATGTTATTAAAGTATGTATATTTAATAGGGATAAAGTAAAGAACTTATTAAATTTTAAAAAAGAGTTAATGAGTTTTAATATTTTCCTTGATATTAGTTAAACATGTTAGAAGTGACATATAAATAGGATCAGAAGAGTAATTCTCCCTTTTTTTTTAAGATTTGTGCTTGAATACTCCCTTTAGATCATAATATAGGATATTGGTAATTATTTTATAGTTTTTTAAATTAGTCATCCTAAACTATAATATAACACATTTCCTATAAACTCTACATGTCCAAAATGTGGGATATTGGGTAGCTTATGATTTTTTTTTAAATTATACATTTAATTTATTTATTCTAATCAAGTATTTAATGAGGATGTTTTAAATAAGTCAACTATTATATTTATTTCACTTAAGAGTATGATTACAAATATGTGAAATTTTTTAAAAAATCAATATTTTAACCAACTTGTAAAAACATGAATTAATTAATAATAACTTATACTCCCTTCGTTTTCAAGCATGAGAAATTACCCTATGTTTCTTTGTTTTTTTTTTCCTCACATATATCTTTTTATTGAAAATAATTTTATTTAAAGCAATGTCAAGCATAAATGTAGGCGTCTCTCGTAATAGAGATTTGAATGTGATTCATCACATTATGAGGCATTAACTTCATCTACTTGACCTAACTCTCATTGATTATGTTTCTTTTTTTATTACTATAAGCAAAACTACAAATTTCAAGAAGCACTGTTACATTTTTTCCAAATTGTTCCTTATAATTGGATAGATCATTAAATTAGAGGGAAAAAGTAAGCATTGATTACAAGGCCATTTTAGTCTAAACATTTCAATTTTAAAAACAATTATTAAGATTAATTAATTTTTTTAAAATGTGAGAGTTAGTTGAAATTCTCCCATATTCGAGAATGGAGGAAGTATTGTGATCCAAAGGAAGTAGGTGAAAATTTTATATATTTTTAATTATACTTTCATTAAATATTTTATGCAAGTGACTCAATAATGACAATTAAAATTTTAATGCATTATTTTAAAAAAATAATAAATAAAATAGGGGTATAGCTAAAAAAGAATTAAAAAAATTATCTAATTCTTTATATTTTTAACCTAACAAGATTTCTAAAAGGTTTCCTATATTATAATCTAGAGAGAGTAGTAAAACATAATTTTATAAATGTTGTTAAACATTGGGAAAATATAACTACAGATCCTTGTAATTTCCCTCAATTTTGAATTAGCTTCATATAGTTTATTTTATCTTAATCAAATCATTATAGTTTGATCCATTACAGTTTTTAATCTTTAAACATTAAAATCGTTAAGTTTTTCCTTTTAAGAAAATAAAGTTTAAAACTTTTATATTTTATTTAAAAGATTATATAACCTTAGAATTATCTACATAATTTTTATAATTCAAAATTTATATAAATTAATTTTTATTATAAATAATTTTTATGAAAATAGAATTTTTTATAAATAAATTTAATAACATGTAAATATTATATTAAATCAAATTTTTAAAAACTTTAAAAGTTGTTTTGTTTTGAGAAAGTTAACCATTCATTATTAAATTTAACTTTGAGGAATTGAGATATATATTTAATCAAATTATAAGAGTTTAGTAAAATAAAATAAATTATAAAGACCTAATTCAAAACTGAAAAAAATTATAAGGCTTGCAGAATTTATTTTTAAATAAGAAACGAGCCTCAGCCACCAAGCTGGGGGAACGTTAACATTATAGCATAAATTAAAGAATTAATGCCCACTCTTGCATTAAAAAGTTTGCCTATCGCTATTCCTCTGTTTCTTGGATCATTTATTATACTATTCTAGCCGTGTTGTGTTACAAGGCATCTCTAATCACCTCACTTACAAAATTAAGAAACATGATTAAATTATTAATTTGGTTTAAAAATATAATAAACTTCTTATTTTACTCATATTTAAATGAAATTTTTCATCTTTGCATTACATTCTCTCTCATACTTTATGACTTTAAGTAGGAATAATATTGAAAAAGCTTAATTAATGCTCAATTAAATGACTTGTAATGAGAACAGCTCTTTCAAAAAGTGCCTTATAATAAGAATTAAAATAATATGTAAGTAAAATACTAGCTTTTTATATAATTATATTAGTATTTGGTACTTTTGAATCATATTTGAGTGTTTTCTAGCTCAATTAAAACTTAGAAGTACCTTTCTCAACATGATTTTTTCAATATCTAGTACTATTTAGAGTTTACAATTCTTTAATTTTATCTTAATTTTTAATTTGATTTGTTAACATTAGAATTAAAGTGTATTTTCTCCCATGAGCTATTTAGTTAGAAGCACTAAGTATCATAAACTATTTATTAGATTAATGTCACCTTTCAAGTATTAACATCAATGTAAATGTTGCCCTTGACTAACAAACATTGATGTTAGTTGTTTACTTTATATTGACTTTGAATTAAAGAATATTTTTATTTTTTATCTCTAAAGTTTCATTATACAAAAACTGACACCCTAAAATTTAATAATATGAAGTAATTGAAATCTCATTTTATTTTCACCGAAGCATATCATATTTAGGGTGTCATATGACTTGCTAACTAGATACTCCTTTCAATACTATTTATAAACCATTATTAGCTATATATAGCTAGGTTACACCTAGCATACTTGTATGAAACTTGAAAATTGTTTAAATACATTGTTCATGTTTATAAATAGCAGAATTTTATAACTTGTATAGATATATTAATAATTTTTATGTGTTTACCTTATCTTTAGTTCGATTAGAAAGATAGTTGGAGAACCTATTACTATTACTAATGGTGAAATTTTCTTAGATTAAGTTTCCCCATTTTATTCTGCATCAGATGCTTTTCCATGTTAAAGATCAATGTATATAGTAATGTATTGTTCCTGTCATTTTCTGTTTGTGCTCATGCTTACTGAGTCTTATATTTGCGGACTTATTTTATTACACAAGATGGGAGGGAAAACAGTTACCATTAGTTGCTTTTACTTGCTGCGCCCTTCGGGTATCAATGCAACACAAAGAAATTCATCTCTCACAAAACAAAACGATCCATTTCCATTCCTCTAGCGAACTGACAAATATTGTTATAATAAGAACCACTCTTGTCCTGCCCCTTTTACTCCAAACTACACAAAGTACACACCACATTGAAAAGAGCCTAATTAAACAGAAAGTTGAAAAACTTGGGTCATATGCTTAGGTTCATCCAATGGGATGACTTGTATTTGCTTAGCTGAAGTGAAGTTGGTCATGACAGGGTGAGTGACCTTCACTTGGTAGTCACCATGGAAGAGACTTGCCTCAAACAACCCATTTGGGTCTGTTGCTCCTTTCAACTTTGTATTAAATCCCCACTCATGAAGCAACTTGTCCACAACATCCCCTGTGGGCAAGTTCCAGAAGTTGTTATCAGTCAAGCACATACGGTAACACCCACTAGGACTCCATGCCGTCCACATCATAATGCCCTGAACCTTTGGGTGTGAATGGATCTCTCTCAGAATCTGCTCCAAATACTGTGCCTGCATCAATTAATCATGAACCATAATGAAAAAGGCTAGCCCCTGTTAGTGTTCCTAACCCCTAATGATAAGTTTGATACAAGGAAAAGTACTTTCTAAAATTGAAAAGCGAAAGAGAATGTTAGACTGGTGTGTTTAGTACGTTGAAAATTGGTAATAAACTTCATATTCATAGTTAGGGAAATAGGAAAGTCCTTTTCCCCATGCATATTCTCGTTCTCATTCTTGTTTCATACTATATAATGGTCTGATTTGCTTTAGCTTTACCTGGCTAGGTTGGCTTTTGACGTCCAATTCTGTGATCCAAATTGGTGATCCAGAGGCAGCAAGAGTATCAATGGAAGATCTAATGTGAACCAAATCAGGAGGGCCAGAGAAATGGGATTCCAGCCCAATCCCAATGGTCAATCCATTATTCCCAGGATAGTCCTTGATCTGTCTGAGCTTCTCAAGGTACTTTGCAGGGGTTGATGAACCGTCTCTACTATCTTCAATGGTGTTGAACTCATTCAAGAACAAAGTGGTCTGTGCATCAATGTTATGAGCGCCATTATAAATCTTGGGTGAGAAACTTTGTCCGAGTTTGCTTTCAAAAAATGAGAAGTGGAGATTCTCATTGAAAACATCCCAAGCAATAAGCTGGCCCTTGTATCTTGACACAACAGAATTGAGCCTTCTTTGAACTGCTGAGTTGAGCTGGTCTGGTGAGAGTGAAGGAACCCAGCTGGGTTGTTGACTAGGATCATCCCAAACTATGTTGTGACCCCGAACACCGATGTTGTGCTGCTTGACAAACTGCAACATTGCATCAGCAACAGAGTAGTCCTCTTTGCCTTGAGTGCTTTCAGTGCTGTACCACTTCATTTCATTCTCAAATACTGTGACTGTGAATCTAGAGGTGAACCAGTTCTGATATGCATTGTTGTTGAGGATGTTCTTGTTTATGGCACTCCCAAAAGGAAAGCTTGGCGTCTTCTGCTCAAAGAACATGCTCGCATTTGATAAAGGCTTGCCTCTTTCATCAACTGCTTGTATCAGTACCTTTTTCTTGCGTGTCTGTGAAGATAGAAATAAACCTGTTTTCAGTTA